GAGGATTTCATGAATTGTAAGGGACTAAAATACCCATATAAGGTGAGTCACATTGGGATGCTATAAAGTACGGTTATGGAAGTATGGTATCACCCCTAGGTGGATCAATCTAATTACTCCAGATGTCCGCAATGAGACGAAGCCCTAGCGGCGGTGTTACATAAAAGATCAGGATATCAGTGGTAGATGATGAATCAACATTAAGGTGAATCAACAATAGATGGATAAAAGTTTAACAGTTTGAGATGAGATTAGACCATCAATCTTAAGGATAAGCAACGAGAGTAACCTAGAGTTGGTTGCAGACCTCAGTAACGATAAATCGAAGTAAGAAATATGGTATAGTATGACCTACGTAGATGCAGTAAAGTCATACGATGGATAACCAGGTCTATGAAATAAGATATAGCCATATTCGCAAGTTCTACAAAGTACCAAGCGAAGAACTTCAATACACCTATAGATGCCCAGAGAGGTATCCTATTACGCCTTATATATGTTTACAAAGTAAGGCCTAGAGATTGGCTAAAAGCTGGAGGAAAAAGGAGAGAAGAGTCGCATAGGCACACTAACAAGGTCAGTATCGTAGAGGCTGCATGATAGAAGGTAGCAACACTTACGAGATTGGAAGGAATTTGATCACAAGTCATGGCGTGGGAAAAAGGCCTAAGGGGAGGAATGCCCTGGCCTTTGGATTTATTCACAGGACAACTGCCTAAATGGCAAGGAGAGTATTAAGGTATTCACAAGAGCTATAATTTATGAAAATGATAAGAGCATCAGTCAACATTCGAGGACGAATGTTTCAAAAGGGGGAAATGATGTTACGCTCCGCAATATTACGATGATGTTACGCTTCGCAGTATTAAATAACTACGATGTTGCACTCTGTAGTATTGTACGTTGAATTTATCGTAAGGTAATTGACATCAGTCCAAGGAAAAGATTATTCGGAGATTATAAGGATTATGCTATTTCACAAGTGATGAGTAAATTTGTGAAGGTGAGAGGGGAAGCAAGTCAAAAAAAATAAATTTTTGTCCAAGTTTGGCATGCTGGGATAAAATTCGGGCCGAGCGTTAATACCCGATATTTATGGACTAGTACCATACGAGTTACCATATGACCATGGTAGTATGATATATAAAAGGGTATTAGAAATAAGTAGAATTTTAAGTAATTTGAGACGATTCTTAATTATGCGGGTAATTAGTTAATTACCGGGTAACGAAATATTGCCTAATTAATTAATTGGTTATGGGATAAGATTAAAATACCTCCCCACCCCCCACGTGGCAGCAAGACATTAACCCACCAAATGACTCTTGATCAATTTGGATTAGGTGGCAACATAGTGTATTAATCTTAAGACAACTCAATTTGGATTAGGTGGCAACATAGTGTATTAATCTCAAGACAACTCATTTCTAGGATCTTAAATACCAAGACAACAATTCAGGCGTGAGCTTTGCCATTAGAAACGTAAAATGCTTACAAATTAGTACAAAGGAATACTACAACAGAACGCTAGAATTCCTACAAGTTTCAACAATTCCAATGAAAATTATTTACACATTAGCAACGTAAGATTTTGCGGTTCTAAAGGAGTACGATGCAACCTTTTCTAAGAACATCATACGAATTTTTCCCTACTCCAGGTATGTTAAGGCTATCCTTTCTTCTTTTGGAATAATCTATACGACACAAACGAAACAAGCAAATGCGCAATTTCCATAAATGACTCTATTCATAGAAATGTTAGAGATGCTTATGTTCTTGATTCTCTATGTTTCGTATTATTCTATCATCTGTTCATGGGTCTCAGAAAAATACGTAAGTTAAAAAATTTTACTTCATGATATTATTCAAAGGCATAATGGTCTTATGATATTCCAAGAGATTTTATTGACGTACTTCTCATGCATTACATTCATGTACATCGACCCATGACCAGATGGCATTATATATATATATATATATATATATATATATATATATATATATATATATATATATATATGGGATATGAGAAAAAGGTTACGGCGTTATATACGCACCACCACTTTATCAGATGGTATACGTTGATGATTTGCCCACAGTGGCCAAGATGATATGATGGGATGCCCTCAGAGACTTGATGATGTTGTGAACACATGTACCTATGCACGACATGACATTTATATGCATATGCATGGCATTATACATATTAATGATTCACAGAGTCATTCAGATTTACATGTCGAGTCTTTTACTCCATGTTTCTCATGTCCATTATTTACTAATTTTCATTCCTTAAATACTCGGTACATTAATTGTATTGACGTCCCTTTTGCTTGGGGACACTGCGTTTCATGCCTGCAGGTCCCGATAGACAGGTCAAGAGCTCTCCAAGCAGGCTATCAACTCAGCGGAAGATGTTGGTGCGCTCCATTTGCTTCGGAGTTGCTTGTTTGGTTTGTATGATTTAGATGTGTATCGTTTGGTATGGCGGGACTCTGTCCCGACCTTTATGAAAATTATGTATTCTTAGAGTATTTTAGACAGATGTCATGTATGTAAAAGATTGTATGGCCTTGTCGGCCAATGTTCAGTGTACGAGTGGTTATTTTGGCCTTATAGGCCCGTATACCTTATTTATAAGTTGGTATCACATGTTGTATTCTACTTATCTTACGATAGCCTTCCGGCTCAGTTATCTACGATAGTATGACATGAAAAGATACGTTATGTTTCTTCTCGATTGAGTAAGGTACCGGGTGCCCGTCGCAGCCCATCCAGGCTTGGGGCGTGTCAATAGATAACTGAAGGGAGATGTTGCAATATCATTTTTGTAATTTGTTATGTGGTTTGATGAGCCACCATTTGATGAATTTGGTCTTGATGCCTTGAGTAGAACAAGTAGACAAACCACACGCATCTTCGAAGTATTTTTCAGACTTTGATAGCAACATTCCCCTTACAGAATAAATGATTAGTAGTTTCAATGTTGCAAATGGTGCAACTGTAACATCTTGATGGCCCATTTACATTAAATCTGGTCAAAAAATCATCAGTAGCAAGTTTACCATTAAGTAATCTCAGTACATGGAAGGAGACTTTGAATGGAAATTTACAGTGCTAGATCTTAGAAAGAGTAAGGGAATAACCTCTTGATTTTCTAAATGTTTCCCAAGATGATTTACTAGTGAAAGATCAAAATGATTAGCAAGCCATAGGCCGATCATTCTCTTCTAGTGAAATCTTAATGGGTTGAATATGAGATACCAGATGATAGGGGAGGGTATAATGAAGTTTATCCAGCATCCATTGGTTGTGAGAGATAAAATCAGCCACTTTTGTCTTTTTGGACTTATTTTCATATTGGACTAGCTTAGCAAGAGCACCTTTATTAGTCCAGTTATCCCACCAAAATGAGAGGTTACCTTTCTCTATTTTTCACAAAATATGATCTTCACAATCCTTCTTGATGTCCATTATCCTTCTCCAAATGTGACTGAGAATAGCTTTTATTCCTAGCAAGCGGTGATATCTTTTGCAATATTTAGCTTCTAAGAAGAGGGTGAGAAGAGATTTTTGAGTCATGTAGTTCCAACATGCTTTAGCAGCAAAATTAATGCAGATGTCATGCAAAGACCTAAAACCTACCCCTCCCTCCACCTTAGGATAACATAAATGTTTCTAGGAAAACCAATGATAGTTCCTCTTGCTCTCTGATGTGCCCCAAAAAAAACTAGCAAGAGATTTTTCAACATAATCAAGAGTAGTTTTTGGTGGATGCACAACAGATATGATATGTATAGAGAGAGAATGTAATACAGACCTAATAAGGACTACTCTACCCCCAAAGGAAAAAGTCTTCCCTTTCCATCCCTGAGTTCTGTTGCTATTTTGGCCACCATATTTCCAAAATAGCATATTTTCTTTCTCCCAAGAAAAAAACACCCCAAATAAGTAAAAGGGAAATGAGAACGGAAAAAAATAGTGATAGCTTTGATGTCCTCATTTACAAGGGGTGGAGTATTAGAAGATACCATGAAAGCAGATTTCCTTTTATTCACCATTTGGCCTGAGATTTGTTCATATTTCTCCAACTTGTTCATCATCATGGCAATGGAAAGCAAGTCACCAGAGAATAAGAGGATGGTGTTGTCAACATATGTGAGATGAGTCATTAAGGGGCTTCCATTATCCACATAGAAAGGGATGAAATTATCATGTATCAATTGATCCATCATGTATGATAGTAGTTCAGCACCAGTGACAAAAAGAGGGAGATAGTGGATCCCCTTGCTTCAAACCTCTAGATGATTTAAAAAACCCATGTCTCATTCCATTGATATTAATGGAATTAACAATTGTTGGAAATCAATCTAGCCACCATATCAATCCGAAATTCATAAAATCTTAATTGCCTCATTACCCGATAGAGATAATCCCAGGCAACTCCGTCAAAGGCCTTTGCCATATCCAGTTTGAATACAATATTAACCTTTATATTGGACCTACTCAAGTTATAGACAAGTTCTTGAGTGAGCATGACATTATCAGAAATAGATCTTCCCTTAAGGAATCCAGTTTGGAGAAATAATCCTATTCATAAGAGGGGCTAACCTATTGTTAAGAAACTTTGAGATGATTTTGGAAGTAAAGTTGCTTAGACTAATAGGCCTAAAATAAGTGAATTGCTGAGGATTTTCAATTTTGGGAATAAGGACAAGTCATGTATGAGTGAAGGACCTAGGAAGTTCAGTTCCAGAAACGAAGTCCAAAACCACATCATAGAGATCATTAGCAATTAAATCCCAACAGTGTTGAAAGAATTTCCCAAAAATACCATCAGGACCAGGTGAGCTACTAGTGCTCATACAGAATACCACCTGTTTCAGCTCTTCCATGGAGGGGAGGGCTTCTAACAACAAGTTATCTTCTTAGTTGACCGATGTTGGAAGCCCCCTTAGGATTGAAAAATCTCTGCAAGTAATTTCATGTGTGAAGTGTTGCTAAAAAAAGCTGACAACTCCAGCAACAATATCATCCCTGTTCTCAAGCCATGTGCCATCCTGCTTCTTAACTTTTGTCAGTTGCAATTTTTTCCTCTTAGAATTGATTACAGAGTGAAAGAACCTTGTGTTATTATCATCATCAATAAACCACTTCAAGCCAGCTTTTTGTCCCCAGAAAGATTCTTTATTTTTAATATTCCTAATCAATTGAGCATTCACACTGTTGTACATCATTCTATTACTTTCTGAGTTGTCATTCAAGCATCTCTCCTCTAGAGTCTCAAGCATGTTCTGCAATTCTTTGGTCTTATCAAAGATATTGCCAATAGAGTTATTAGACCAGAAGGAAAGACTCTTACAAATAATTTTAAATTTTAGGTGAAATCTCCACATAGGACCACCCTGTACCTGCAATTGCCATGCTTGTTTCACGACTTTCATGAAGCCCTCTTGTTCAGTCCAGAAGTCTAGAAATCTAAAATACTTCTTAGGTTCCCGATGAGGATTAGATGTGGATATTAGAAGGGGAGCATGGTCCGAACCAGTTCTAACCAAATGAGTGGCAGAAGTGTCTAAAAATCTCTGCAACCATTCGAAATTAATAAGTACCCTATCTAATCTTGCCCATATCCTCCTAGCAGAAGCCCAACCTTTACACCAAGTAAAGGGATTGCCAGAGTAGCCGATATCCATTAACTTACTGCCAACAATACAATTGATGAAGGGTAAGCTTTTGGACATGTTAAAATCATTCCCTCCCTTTTCCTACGGATCAGTGATAGAGTTAAAATCCCCGGCCACCATCCTTGGAGAGCTAATTTCCTCGGAAAATATTTTGATACCATCCCACAATGTCTCACTGAGATGAGCTTTGCAGTTAGCATACACCAAAGTCATAAATAGAGTCTCCTAATTTTTATCAATTGAACAATTGATAAGTTGAGGGATATCTTCAATCAGAGTAAAATTAATAGAATTATCGCCAAAAAACCAGATCTTGCTGCTGCAGTTTGCATATGCAAAATCAAGCCCAAGTTTTCTCTTGAACTTCTCCAATTTAGTTCTTCCACTAGAAGGTTCCATAATAGCTATGAATACGAGGTTGTGAGTTCTTTTAAGTTGCTTAAGTCTGTCAAAGGCACCTTGAGAAGTGATGCCTCTAATATTTCAAATAAGAAACTTAATCATTAAAGGGATATAGATTGATCATCTTTGTCCTCTGAAAATTTTACAGCAGGAATACATTTGTCTCTTATGTTTGCTCTGCCACCTTTGCTTGAGTGTCCACCTCTTGTTGATGAGAACCTACCTTTGATTATTTCATGTCCCCATGGTGAAAGGTGATGTTGGCCTATCACTTCCTCAAAGGCTTGATCAATTTCTTGTGGTGGTGGTGAATGATATGAGAAAATTTCTAACAATTTGTTTGCATGATCATCACTAGTAACTGATTGAGCATCATCACTATTAGACTGTTGTTCAATACTTTCAAAGTCATCATTAGAGTCATTAACATCCTGCTTATATTCAGCCGTTTTTGATTCTTCCCCTAAAGCTTCGAATTCAGAGTCAATATCATTTAGCATACCCTTGTCTGATTCATCACTGCTATATGAAAAGCACTTAGATGGCTTATGATTATCGAAGTTATGTTTAGGTGGGAGGTTTTCAAGAGGGGGGGGGGGGGTTCTAGTGCTTCTTAAGTGGTGGAGTTTGCATAAGCCTTAGCTGACTAAATTACTTGAAAGTTTATTTGCTGGGAAGGGATAACTTGTGTTGGTTTTGGCAGTTTAGGTTATGTGGCTAATAAATGTTGTTGTTTTGGGACTTTGAGATGGAAGGGATGTTAGTGATAATTTGGAGTTTTGGCTTGGATATGTTATCAGGAACAATCTGAGAGATTTTATTAATGGAAGGTTGTTAAGTAGCTTAAGGATGGGTACTTATGCTTTGATGTGTGTATGGTTTTGATTTAGTTCAAACTTGGTTAGAATCTGTTGTTTGAGCAGTCGATTGTTTTGAGTTATTGTGGTGTATGGTATTGGTGATTTGCTTGCTCGGTTAACTTGCCATTGCACTTTTTTCTTAGCTCCAATCTTTTGCTTTGGTACTTGTTGAGGTTGTGCTGCCTGCTCAACTAATTTGTTCTCGTTCAGAACCTGTTGCTGATTTTTTTGGGTATCATGATCTCTCGGCTGTTGAGTTGGTTGGTCATCCTTTTGTGATTGGGTGTTGTGTTATGTATCTATGACATCCTGGTGATATTGTTGTGTTAACATATCCAGGTTATTACTTCCATTCGTGTGTTGGTTACCTTTCTTATTTCCTTTTTGAACATTCCATTGATCAATATTCGCCTCCTTATTCGCTTCTTGGGCTTGTATTTCTTTCTCTCTTTTATTATTTCTACAGGAGAGTACATCATATCCTTGCTTGCGACAATATTGACAGTATGAGGGAGCATCTTCATATTCAATATCAAGCCAATAACCATCCTTCTCATTACTATCCAACCTCTTGAACCCCAGCCAGATTTGATCCTTCCTAATTTTCAAGAGATCAGTTTCAACTTTAATCTTGGCCACATTACCTCTAGATTTAGAGTAGGTGGTCATGTCAGGAGCCATAATAGTACCAATTGAAATAACCATTTTTGATAAAATGTCCCACCTAAAAAGAAGTCAGGGGAGTTGATGAATGAGAATCCACACCGGAGCAGTTGTAGACACATTCGGGGGCAAAGTAGGGAGTCCATCTAATCTTCTTCATTATGTATGGACCAACGGTGATAAACGATTTAAAGTAGATATGGTAAATATCTGCTTCATTGGAGAAGTCAATATAAACATGATTTGTATCATAAAAGGCTATTTTCACAATACCTTTAACCGGAATATGACTAATGAATAACCTCCTTACTTTATCCATGTTAGGTTTACCTATAGTAAACTTCCCAACAATTGTGAACTTGCAATCTTCAGACAGAGTAACGAAAAAGTCTTGGGCAGAGAAGTAGACTGCGGGTCTGCTCATATGAGTTCCATGAGTAATTTTAACAGGTTGCTTAGCACTTGAGCTATTTGCGAGAGAAGCGGAGACACTAGTTGTAAATGATGGCTTGGACACTGGAATGGGTGGTCGAGGTTGATTTTTGGAATTATTAGTGGAGCTAGAGGAAGGATTATTGTTTCCCATGTTCTGATTTACATTTTGTTGAACATTGGATTGGGGATTTTAAATACTATTATTTGTTTGGTTGTGATGAGGTGGGGGTCAAAATTAGAAGAATCCTTCAGTGGTGATGGGAGAAAATTACTCTTCTAGGCATTGGGTATTACTTGTTTGTGTTGGGTAATAGGTTTTCATATTGGGGGTTTGATAGTGTTTGAATGCTTGTGCCGTCCAAATGAATCAAATCTTCAAGGGATGGATGTGAAGTATGTGTTTTGGGTTGCGAAGATGTTGATTGCAAAGTGAGTTTAGTTTTGACGGTGGTCTTTGGGATAGTAACTTGGGTATCATTAGCCGTCGAGTGGGTGGAAATTGATGTTGGAAATTCCGATGGTGAGGTGTCGATTGGTGATTGCTATTTTGGGGGTGATGGATCGGGTGGGGCTGGTGGAGGTAGTTGTGGGACCTCTAGTGGTCCACGTGGGTTGGTTGAAATCATAGAGAGAAGGCAGAAGAGTTTGGTTAGAGAGAGAAAGATTTGTATATGACTACGCTTAGATGTAATGCAAAAGTTGAAATTTACAACATGGTGATGATTGGTAGTGTCATGGGCAGAGCTAGAGACCAAGGTGCGGGTTCGACTGAACCTAATAACTTTGGTCTAGCCTATGTATTTGTCTTATAAAATTCATTTACTGTATACAAAATATTAATTTTTCAATAACTTAAAAGTGCTAAAATCTTGAACCTATGAGTTTCGAATCCTGACTTCGCCTCTGGGTACAATAAATAAAAACAAAGAATCTTTCGAGGGAAGCAAAGAAGAGTTGATGCTCTCACCAAGCTAATAGTCCAGGACATCATTTATAGAGGGAAAGTAATACCAAGTATTGCTGGATAATTGAGACATTTGAACTTTTACCCTTAGTGTTATTGTTATAAAGATGTAATAGGGGGTGGTAGAGAGAAGTAAATGTTAGTAGTTGTTCAAAACTTGAGGTCTGTTCAACTTTTGTTGGTTTTTGTTTTGCTTGTACATATGTTTTCCTTGATAAATATAAATTTATAATTACCAAAAAAGGATAAACAGTTGTGACGACCCAAAGGGTCATCACCTGTTTTCTCATTCGTTCCGTGCTTCCGAGGCCTTGAAAATCTCATTTTTTCTTACCTCGATTAGCGTGCGCAGTCCGGGCGCATCCCGGAAAGCTTTTATGTTGAAATATGTGAATTTTGTGAAAAATTTGAAGAATTTTGATATTAATATTGCTAAAGTTGACTTTGGTCAATATTTTTGGTAAACGGACCCGGACCCGTGATTTGGCGGTCCCGGAGGGTCCGTAGAAAAATATGAGACTCGGGCATATGCCCGGAGCCGAATTCCGAGGTCGAGAGCTCGAGAAATAAATTTTTCTGTGAAACTATTTTTCTGAAATTCTTAAGAAAAATGGAAATGAAAATTGATTGAAAGACTATGGTATCGGGCTCGTATTTTGGTTCCGACGCCCGGTACAAGTCTTAAATATGTGTTAAGCGCTTTCTGTAAAGTTTGGTCGAAATCGGACGTCATTTGATGTGTTTCGGGCCTAAATATCTAAAGTTAGAAGTTTATGAACTTATAATGAAAAATGATGATTTTGGGGTTTGATTCAATGATTTTGATGTTATTTTGGCGGTTTGATCGCTCGAGTTAGTTCGTAGAGTGTTGTTGAGTTAGTGTGGATGTTTGGTTAGGAGCCCCGAGGGTCCGGGAGTGTTTCGGAGGTAGTTCGGGGTGTTTTTGGCCTTAGAGTTGTTGCAGAATTTCTTCTGCTGGTGTTCAGAGAATTTGTTCTCTGCGATCGCGATTCCATTCTTGCGATCGCATAGTGTCTTCTCCAGGCATTTCCAAATTCCTTCAATGCGATCGCATAAGTTGTCCCGCGATCGCATAGTCTGACCAGTCTCTTCAATGCGATCGCACTCACCTCTACGCGATCGCACAGCTTTAAACTTCACCCAAAAGTCCTGGTTTCCCTTCTTCTCTGCGAACGCACGAAATTGTTCTGCGTTCGCGGAAGCCAAGTTCCCACTCCTCTATGCGACCACATCAATTGCCCCACGATCGCATAGACCAAAAGTGCCCAGTGATTTTTCAAAGCTTAAAACAGAATGGTTGCGGGATTTTTCCTCACTTTTCACACGAGCTCCCCTCTTAAACCCTCCATAGACGAAATTCAAGCTCTCCTTCCTCCATAACTCTTTGGGTAAGTAATCTTAACATTATTCCCTCATTATTTCTTCATCTAATTACTAATTTCCTAGCTCTAAATCATGAAATCAAAGTAGAAATTAAGGGTTTTGGGTAGAGTTTGGTTTTTGGGAATTTTGGGTGATTCAACCTCAATTTGGGGTCGAATCTTGAAATAAATTATATATTTGAACTCGTGGGGTTATGGGTGATTGGGTTTGGTCCGAGCCTCGTGTTCGGACCATGTGGGCCCGGTGTCGAATTTTGGTATTTTTGGAAGAATGCTAGGAAA